CAACGCGTCGAGGCGGCCCTCCGAGGGCGGCTCCTTAAAATCCGAGTCGCTGAGGCTGCCCTCGGTCTCCTTGCTGGCAGGGGTGGGTGGTCCCTGAAGCCGTTCGCAGCCCGACGCCGCCTTCTGCTCAGCTCCTCCTGCGGGTGAAACCCAGGCCGTCAGAGGCGCAGTGGCCGCGCGGCGGGACTCGGTTCCTGCCCGCAAAGGTAGAGACCCCTGCTCCCAACTTCCAGGCCCCGTGCGCGCCCCCTCTAGGTCTCTCTTTTCCTTTTTACTCCCGCCCAACACGCCCGTTCCCGTGTCCACCAACCTGTTTCGGGGCCCTCGGGGTCGCCCTTGTCCTCGGGCTTCTGGGGCTCGTCCTCGTCGTTCTTCTCCAGGTCAATGTTCTCCTCCTCTTCTTCGTCCTCGCTGCGGTTCCGCGGCGTCCACGTCATTTTATTCTCTTTCTTGAGGCGCCGGCGCGCGTTGGCGAACCAGGTGGACACCTGGGTGAGGGTCATCTTGGTGATGATGGCCAGCATGATCTTCTCGCCCTTGGTGGGGTAGGGGTTCTTGCGATGCTCGTTGAGCCAGGCCTTGAGCGTAGCCGTGGCGTCCCTTGTGGCGTTCTTCCGGTACGCTGGATCCCCGTAAGGGTACGAGCCCAGGGGCGCCGCGTAGGGATGGTACCCCAAGGAGCCCGCCATGCCGGGTGTGTGGTCGTAGGGAGAGCCCTGCGGTGGAGACGCAGAGAGGTGAGTGTGGGCCTTGGTCTCCACTCTCCATCGGAACGACCGAAGCACCCTTTTCCCTGCGCTCCCCGGGGTCTGTGGGTGGACGAGGCCCGCACTCCAGCTTCCTCTGGGGCAAGGCTGGCGGGGTTCAGACCTAGGAGCAACTCCTCCCCCTCCTCAGAAGGCAGCGGGGACCTCAATTCCTGGGTCAGGTCCTTCTGGGGCCCCTGAAGCTGTCCCGGCCTCGGTGCCTCCCATAGGCCCCCATCTGCCCCGGCACGTCCGTACCCCGTGAGCAGATCTGGCCAGGGCAGCCCGGCCTCCATCCAGATAGAGGCCTGGGCAACTGAGGCGACTCCGCGGTCCGCGCGGGAGCGGCCGCACGTTGGGCGCAAGGGGGGAAAACAAGGGAAGTAAAGGCTCTTGCTCTTTTTTTTTTTTTTTCAACACGCTAACAAATGCAAACAAAAAGCTGAGCCATGCCCAGGCACTCCCACCCTCCAAAATACTACCCCAGACCGAAGTTACAACCCGGCCGAAAAATCCCGGATGCACCGCAGCTCGACCGACTTTTCTGAAATTTAATACCCGCAAATCGGATTGCGAAGATAGGATTACGGATTTGCAACATTTTGGAGGACTAATTAAAGGCTAGGCCAAACACATTTGCATTGACTTAGCACGCTTCTGCTCAAATTTCGGGTCTATTTCTTTTGAACTACTTTTCCAAAATGGCAAAACCAAAAATATAAAATTTGCAGGGCAGCCCGGAGCTTACGTTTACACCAAATGCTGCTCTTTAATTGCAGCTACCTCTCCCCACAGAACCCCTTCCCGCAAGCTCAGCGATCCGAGCAAGACGCGGCTCTCTTTTCCGAGCAACTCTTGAGTCCGAGGCCTGGGCGAAGCCGGGGGAGACAATCGCCCAAGTTTGAAGGGGTCGCGAAGCTTGGCGGGGGAGGTCGGTGTTGGCGCCTAGGCCCGTGTGCCCCTCCGCCCCCGTCCTCCCGCCGGGACCC